GATGAGTTCCACCACAGGAGCAGAAGAATTTCAGTTTTACAACCTTTTGTTGTAAAACTTAAAACTCGTCTTGGCAGGTGTTGAATATCTGCGACTTTAAGGTGACTTCTGGGAGTTTAGGGGACAGAATAAAAAAAAAAAAACATTAAAGTTCCTCCTGAAGGCGCATGTAAAGAGAGTCCCTGTTGTTGTTGTTTAACGTGTGATGCTGTTGAGGCTGGACGGGGAGTCGAGGAGGGAAAACAAAGATGGAGGCGACGAGAGGAAAAGCAAAGAGGAGAACCAGGGAGATATGGGATCGAAGAAGAAGAAGAAGAAGAAGAAGAAGAAGAAGAAGAAGAAGAGCGGGATGAAGAGTTAAAATCAATCTAGCTTCTCTTTTTTTGTTGTTTTTTTTTTTTGCATTGTGGACGAATGCAGCAATGACAGTTTGTGGTGTGAGATCAGTGTGGCATATTTGTCCAAAACATTCTGCAGATCTGCAAAAACAAATGAAAAATTACAAATTAAATCCATGATGGGGAAAAAAAATGGCCGCATGTGAAACATAAACAAATCAAAGAATTGTTTCTGTTTGTTTTATGCATTTCCTCTAAAGTTTGACTTCATAATAATCGACTGAATGAGAGAAATACAAGAAGGAAAATCAGTCTATAAAGTCCACAGCAAATCTCTTCACAGTAGTCGGCTGAGGAACTGATTGTTTTTTCCAGTGCAACCACGCTGGCTCCTTCTCTTTAGCTCACTTTGTTAGCTTGTCTGCACTCTTTCTCTTTATCACTTCCTCTTGGTAATCTGTAAAGGACACACAAAGGTGATAATGTCAGTAAACAACTGCAAACGTCCACCAAACATCACTTCTAGAGTTTCTCCTTCTGTGTTTGACCCAGTCAGTCCTGCAACCTTGTCGATGCATCGGGACATTAACACCTGTTTTAAACCAGACCTGATCAATTGTAAACCAATCCTTAAGGGGTCAAATGGGTTTTACTTTCACCTCCACTGATTCTTAGGATGCTTATTCTGCTGCCGACCTTTGACCTCTGAGACATCTGACGTCCTAAACACTGGGTCAACACCGTGACCTTACCTAAACTGGACCTGGAGCTGCAAATAGTAAACGCTTTGTGATGAACTGTATGTGTTTGTGGTCACATTTCAGCCAATGGCGACTACATTTAACGTGATTATCAAACTACAGAAGCAGCTGTAGTTGGAATAGAAGCTGATAGAACACCTACTTATTGTGAAATGTTGGTATGTTCAGATGTTCAATTTGGAAAAACCAACGTGTATGACTGTAGATCCTATTGGTGCAACAACTGCTCCCAGCTCATGCCTCGCACTCACTCCTACCCTTTGCCCTTTAGGCTCTATGCTCTGCAGTGTCGGACAGAAATACTGCATCTCCTCCCCCCTCCTGGGAGCGTTTAGCGTTGAAGCGGCAGGACGTGATATATGTGATGTCAGGCTCAGAGTGCTGCAGCTTTTCATTGTGCTCATGTAACTGTAGCACGCAGTGTGTGAAGCGAATTAATGATTGATGTCGCTGTTTCTTAAGGTCAAGAAAGGGCTCTTGTAAAAGATAAGGCTGCAGAATACGGCTGACTTTGCTCTTCATAGTTACTGTGCATATGTGTGCAGGGAGACACGTCCGTCACATGTATTTCACATGTTAATAGCCGGGGAACATTCCAGGAACATGCAGCGGCTGTTTGCACAGGACATGTAGCGTGCACACACATGCACGGCGTTACATCACCTGCACTGGGCGATGGGATACCACGCTGGTCACATTTTGTTCAGCACAGGTCATTGCAACTGTACAACTGAGCAAGAAGAAAGAGCTTCTGCACAGGGAATGCAGTGGGTTTGGCTCCATCTTGTGTTCATGATTGGTTATATTTTTTAAAAAAATGGGAGATACAGATAAAATTAGGGCCACTTTGTATGTGGACATGTTTTGAAATTGCATTCAAGTGAAAAACCGTCCGTGCACAGAGGAGTTTTGCAAACAAGTCGGTTAAATTCTACTTTACATTGGGATGACTTTACACCCTCGTACTTGACTACAGATATATATATAATGAATATTTTTAAGTGTTTCAAACATGCACATACTGGCTTTAAATCCACACCTCTGACAGTGAGGCTGTGCAATGAGAGCAGACTAAACTGGGAGTGCGTGGGTGTGATGCCAAAAAGAGTCCGTATTTACCCCCTGGGGCTGGATTAGGACAGTAGAACAGACAGCTGATGGTATTGATGTCGGTTTGGGACTGTGTGGTCAGACTGGCTTCCATCTCGATCACTCGGCCCGTGAACCTTTGGCTCTTGATTTAGTGAAATACTCGTCAGTACTTGTAGGAACATTGGACTGATTCTTGCTACCGATAAGTGTATGGATTTTACACCTGTTAATATAAGTTATCCAAGGCTTGAAAACTATTTGATTATCAATATAAATGTTGGCCTAAAGTATGTATACATCGCCAATAACACTTTACACAATAAAGTCCAAGGCTGCTAGTCCTCAATGAAGACTTCTAATTAGCTTTAGCGAGCTGGCTAACTTGCTTTAAGCTAACTTTAGCTTCTGCTACCCCACTTTATGGTCCTATAGCAGCATGCAGCATAAATTTAAACCATAGATTATGAACATAACATGCTTTGGATGTAATTTTATGACGAAAACCAGTTTTGGCAGGGTGGCTAGCTCAAAATGGCGGCATACACGTTGTATGTACATGGAAATGACTCATGCTTGTGAAAAGCCTCAGCGGGGTTTGGGGCATTAAAATAATAGAAAATGCTAGACTATTGTGCTGTTTTAAGATGTTCTAATTAAATAAATGCCAGAACAAGGCAACAAAGAATAACGCTTTGCAGTTGAGAGGTTATCGTACAATATTTTTTTGCTCCTAACCTGGTGAGTTTGAATTCCTCACACCAATCAGCATTAACATTTAAACCACTGACAGGTAAGGTGTGCAACACTGATCTTGTTGCAACACAATGTTCTGCTGGGAAACGTTGGATCTGTCATTCATGTGGATTTTACTTTGACATGTATCACCATGTGCATGTGTGTTGTTACAGCAGCAACCTACTCCAGCAGGACGATGCACCGCATTGTAAAACCTGCTCAGGAATGACTTGAGGAATGTAACGAAGAGCCCAAGGTGTTGACCCGACCCAGATCCCAGTCAAAGTCAAGTGGAGATCCCACCCAACAACACACAGGATCCAAACAATCCACTGCTAATGTTCTCGTACCAGACGCCACAGGACACCTGCAGAGGTCCGATGTCGGTGCTTCCATAGGTCAGGACTGTTATCAATATAAGGCAGGTGGTTTTAATGTTGTGGCTGATGGTGGATATCACAGTAAGCGATCGATAGCTTAAGCTAACGCAAAGGAATGAAAGTGACCGAACATGCTACTATAACCTAAACTAACTAATTAACTAAAACAATTTGCAATAAGTTTATCAAAACATGCAACTGGTCACCTGACGTTTCACTTAAGCATCCTGTGTTACGCATGTTTTTGTGACCACTGGTAGGCGCACATGTGTGATTTCTCGTTTGACCTCAAACTGGAGTCCAGAGCAAACATCACAATCTGTCGTTCATCGCATTCAACACTCCAAGACGAGTTAACCTTTAAATCAAGGATCATCACTGGTCACAAAGGACGAGTCTGCAGCTCCGACCCATTGACCAGATATCAGTTTTCACAGTGGAAGAGGCTGCAGTTTGTAAGACCAGAGAAGGAGCATCAGGTCAGGAACGTACAAGGAGCATGCTGGTTGATTTCAGTCCTCCAGAATCGGACTGTGAAGGCAGAGTTCAACTGTAACACTCTGAGGTGTCTGAAACCAAACCATCTTAACTGTTGTTAGCATGTTTGGTGCTCGAATTGTACTGTCTGCTCCCTTACCATGCATTGACTGCACTTTTTTTGGGCCACAACAAGCCAATCATCACTCCCTACCCATCCAACTCACTGTAGACGCCCAGTGACTTCTGTCTGATCCCCTTTATGAAATTCAAGTTAAAGAGTCGCTGCTTTGGCACAGTGGAGGAGATTCGCTGTAGATGGTGGTCGATATGTTAAAAGTGTTGCAGGAGCACTGGAAGCAGAGTATCGACGCACGAGGAGACGACTTTGACAAGTTTAAATCAGATGTGGTGATTGGTTTTCATAGGCATGGACTCAGACTTTTTTGAGCACACTTTGTAAACATGAGAAGAACAAAAAAAAACAGAAATATGTTGGAAAAAAAATGCAAATGTCGCAGGTGGAAAATATAGAAAACACAGATGTCTAAGTGAGTTGGTCGGCAGTGATGCTGCTGTTATTCTTTAAAACTGGATTAGCAATTACATAATACCTTTGAGAATTCAGTCCACATAATCACTGAAGAAGCACAAACATCTTCTGATGCTAGCTAAATGGTTATTTGGTGGTGCTTTGCTTAGTTTACTTTTTGAATCCAACTGATCATGTTTTATTCTGCACAGGAATAAAATGTTAAGATTCTTTAGCTAAATGGAAACTAAACACATCCACACTCTCAAACATCAAACAGAAATTCGGGTCAACACTCCATCGACCCTCAGAATGACGAAACACGAGCCCAGAAAACCACTTTTATACTTTTTATACCAATTTTTTTCCATACTTTTATTTCCTTTTATAAGTATTCATTTCAAGTCGACAATTTACATCGCAGCCCATCGGCTCTCTGGAATTGCCCATGTACTGCATGTCAGCTGTAGAGGGAGAAGGGGAATGGCGGTAAGACTGAGGGACACCAGATAAGCCTAAAACAGGGAGGAGGAGGAGGAGGAGGAGGAAGGAGGA